ATTGCCAAATCACGTCGCGACTGAAATAACATGAGCTATGTCTAAAACCTCAATGAGTTTTCAAAATTTGTTGATAAGAAGTCCTTTGGTACTTTAGAGGATCGGTTGATCAATTCGCGACATTACTCGCACGTTTCCGGATCTTCATCAATAAGTTGATTCTGTAGTATCATAAAAATCGCATTGGTGAATGTAAAACCATGCATTTATCTGATAAGTGACATAAGGAGCGCTAAGTACTTTTTGTGCTGGCTGATAACGGCTTCACTCTCGCGCTCAACACAGTAGTCAACCGTCACTTTTTACTCTTTATATCTCAGATTTGAATGGAATTAAACCTGCAACTTCTAATTATCTTGAAGCTTCTATATTTGATTTCTTATACAGCAAAAAAATTTAGCTCGGTAGAGGTGCTGCCTGAATCTAACTGCAGCTATGGGGTCAATCTACCGCTCGGAGGTGATGAGCCTCTGCCAGATATTCTTACAAACGGATTCCGCCTATCAATGTGTAGCAGAACTGGGAGAGTTAGGCCTGGTGCAGTTTCTAGATGTAAGTAAACATCAAGTATGAAGAGGGCAAAATATGGTAATTTTTGCTCAGTTGAACGAGGAGATGAACGCATACCAAAGAAAATTTGTCAACGAGATACGACGTTGTGAAGAAATGGAAAGGAAGCTAAGTAAGTCAACTGTTTTTCTTAACATAATGAACTGAAAAATAGGCAGTTTATAGCAAGGACAAATTTTGAAATAAGCAATCTTATCAAGTGTTACTGCAGACTACATCCAAGACGAGGTGACAAAGGATGACGTTAAAATCCAGGACTGTGATGACCACATCCCAGCACCTCAGCCAAAGAATATGACAGAGCTTGAGGCATGCGATGATTTACTCTCAGTTCTATTCTAATGTTACCCAAGCTTTAGGCCAACTTCGAAAAACTTGAAGAGGAACTGCTGTCGATCAATTCTAGTTCTAAGCAGCTCATCAAAAACCACGTATTTTTGCTTGAGATGAAGGCAGTGCTGGAAAAAGTTCATCTACTACTAGACGCTGTAAGAAACATTTTTTGATTATTCAATTTATGCAACTCGCCAAAATATCGACAAGGCTGCGGTATGAGAGTGACTTTTGAAACAAAAATAGCATGGCTAACACTGGCAAATTGTGCCAAATTTTAGGCCAAAATAATTTTGACAATACTTATAGGATATGTTAAGTTGGTCCGGTCCATAAGTTTTGCGCCAAAAAGTCTCGAAAATTCGTCTAAAAAGTTCTTTCCAAGATTCTATTTAATCCGACTTATTCTAGTCTGTTTATCGTATTTAAACGCGCCTTCGGACCTACAAAATAAATAAACGAATGAATGGATAAACAAGAAACTTTAAACAGTGTTCCGAATTAATTTTCCTAATTTTAACCGACAAGTGCTTGTTTAACTATGCATATTAGAGATTGCTTAATTGGAACAAAATCGAAATGTCGGTCAAAAAATCTCAAAATTATAGCTATTAGTGAATCAGTCACCACAGATCTCTTGTCAAAAAAGTAAGTTGTAAGATCATAAAAAATAATTGAGAAATTTTTGACTCCCTAGCATTTTCTAAAGCAAAAAAATCAA